TTTTTTGTGTTCCCTTTCATGGGAACTTCGAACTGCGTCCTCTAGGGGTCGCTATGGGGAACGCCTCGTCGTGACCCGTGTCTGAAGCATACATTGAAAAAACACCAACTCGTTGGCCGGCAGCAGCCATGACGTCACTACCGGTGCGACTATAGTATAAATAGGCGCCGGGAGCACACATCATTCACTTCTTCGTCTTCATTGACTGTTCTGTTTGAAGCGTGCATTTCCAAAGAAAAAGTAAGAGCTATCTCTTTCATTATGGCGAGCACTGGTAGAGCATTTAGAAGGTGTGTGCATCCGTGTCATCGCTATTTGACACCAGATGACACACACAATCTATGTGTTGTTTGTTTGGGCGAAGAGCACGCACGCGATGTCCTCGAGGGGGCAATCTGAGTGCATTGCGAGCTTTTTCCAATGAAAAAGCTCCGTTCTCGTTTGTTGAGTATGTAGCCTAGGCCTTTGGACGTAGGGAATAACGTCACTGACAGCCGTCTAACGTCCCAGGGGCGAACGAGTTGGTGTTTTTTCAATTTTTGCTTCAGACACGGGTCACGACGAGGCGTTCCCCATAGCGACCCCTAGAGGACGCAGTTTGAAGTTCCCATGAAAGGGAACGTCTCAGGTTACTTATGTAACCATGGTTCCCTGAGTAGGGAATGAGACACTGCGTCCTCTAGGTTTCTTGCCATGCTGCGGACGCAAGCTTCAGACGAAGAAGTGAATGATGTGTGCTCCCGGCGCCTATTTATACTATAGTCGCACCAGTAGTGACGTCATGGCTGTCGCCGGCCAACGAGTTGGTGTTTTTTCAATGTATGCTTCAGACACGGGTCACGACGAGGCGTTCCCCATAGCAACCCCTAGAGGACGCAGTGTCTCGTTCCCTACTCAGGGAACCATGGTTACATAAGTAACCTGAGACGTTCTTTCAGTCTCTTGTTTAACATTGCTTTTCTCAGGGTATAAGAGGGAACATTAAAGTTTTCTATGCACTATGTTGGGTTACACTGAGATTATTTACAGATGTCCTTGTTACAGTGTAATTATACATTTTAATACTGAGTAATATTAAGTACATGTATTTACTATATGGTTAGGGTTAAGATTAGGGTTTGGTTTAGGGTTACTTGCATGTAATTATGCATAATTTATTTTTATTATAATAGTAAGTGCATGTAACATGTGTAACAAGGACACCTTAAAATAAAGTGTTGCCCTATGTTGTTCCATTCTACTGTCTGTTTATTTAAACACATCTTAATAAATGACGTTGTCTGCTTTAAAAGTTTTGTGACTCTTTCCTTTGACCACTGAGGGTTTTGAAACCTAAAGCGTCAAAACTGCGTAAGCTTCCTGTCTCACATTACCTTCGAAAAAATGACTTCCTCCTTCAATAAACTACAGAAAACCTATGCACCATTCTCCAAGTTTAACCATGACACTTTAACATACATGTGTTAACATGAGACTGATATAATCGAACTGCAGCCCATGTAAAGTTATATACACTCTTATAAACATGACATTTTGTTATAAATTAGACCTAATTTGTCAATTTTTGCAAAAAAAGCTTTTTTGCAATATGGTCAAAATTATTAACATTTATCCATGCACTTACAAATCCACACATATTTAGTTGCTTTGCAAGCTAAGAAAGCACATTCAGTAAAAACATGAAGATTTTCATTACAGCACATTAGGGCTTTTTTAAATGTGAATTTAAAATAAAAATTCACATTCGAATGCAAAAACGTTACATTCACATTTTAGGTGTGCCTCAGGCAGCCTTATCAGTGGCGCACGAGATGTAATGACGATGTAAGTGTCGTTGCATTATAATGTTTTTGTTATCCTGTCCAGTTGAAGCCACTAGATGCGGCGCTGCTGTGTTGTTCATTAACAATATAGTGGAAAAAGAGAACATCGATGCGGAGATGATGTTGTTTACGTCAAAAAAGAAACCAAGCCGTTCACACAGAACGCATATTT